CTTATCGATTCTTTTGGCCAGCATTTGTGTCAACTATGTTGTACCCCTTACACTGCCCCTCTTGCCTCTAGCAACGATAACACCCCAATAATACAATTACTCTAGGATTCAGTCGCCTTCAACAACCCCCCATAACACCATCATCGGGCGAACATACCTGGTACAAATATTCCAGTGGGTTCTACCAGTGCTGATACAACCTTACGAGGGCGACAGAGTCCGTCCAGACAAACTCTCAAGCTGGCTTCTAGATAGTATGTTTCTTGAAATTCTTGGGCAATTATGTCGACATGTGCCCTACTTCTAAAACATATGATGCAACCTTCCGAGCTTAGCTATTCCTCCGACTCATTCCTCCGAAATTCTGCAAATGACCCACGACGCCAAACCCCTTACTCCTGGACCCGAATTTCTCTATTCCTTTTCCCGACTTCATTCGCTTGTTTCATTCTTGGTCAGAAAGCTCGGCGCTTCCTCAGCCTGACTCCTCGTTGGTCTTTGGGGGTTTCACCGATCTCATTTCGATGAAGCACGCAATAAGAGTTGCAAGCACTCCTAGCGGAATGGGCACAATAAGCACCGTCTGGATCGCCTTGTTGTACACTTGGATCATGGCGAGCAACTGCTCCGCAGGTATCAGGTCGCGGAACGCGGTCGCACCCGCCGCGATCACCTGCTTGATGTCGATTCCGGGGACCAGATTGGCGGTGGATGCCTTCATCAGCTGGTGCTGGAAGACACTGTTCCCTACCGACACGAAGATGGCACCTCCAAGTGACTGGGCAGCGGCAACGGCCGCAGTTGCCAACGGTAAATCATCCGAGCCGCTCAGCATCGTCTGTACTGCGTTGAAGCATTGCTGGATCGATAGGCCAAAGCCAGCGGCCACTAGAACTTCATAGCCTACCCATTGGGCTGTTGTTGTGTTGGGGTTCAACAAGGTAAGTAATCCGAGGCCAATGGTACCGATCGCGGAGCCGATCACCGCTGGAGGCGTTGCATAACCAAATTTGGACACAATACCTCCTGCAATCAGTGAAAACACTGACTGGAAGACAAAGAACGGGACCATGTGTACGCCGGAGCGCATGGCCGTCTCGTTCTTAATGGCCTGAAACCAAAGCGGGAGGAAGAAGGTCAGGTTGATCAGGACCGCGTATATCATGAAGGCCGAGCCGCATGACGCCGCCACAGTACGCTGCTTGATGATGCGAGGGGGAATCAATGCCGCGTCCCCTTTAGCCCATTGCCAGCCCATGAATATGATGGTAGTAATACCACAGCCGACTAAGAGCCAAATGATGAGTGGGTGGTTCCAGGAAAATCCTCGTGTTGTATGCTCAAGCGCTAAGAAAAGCATGACAAAAGCGCCTAGAATGAGGATGTTGCCCACAATGTCCAGGTCCTTAAACCTGTCCAGGAGCGTTCGGGTGGTGCGTTCGCGTCTCTTGGGGTTGAAGAACAGAACCAAGCAGATGATGGTTATGGCGCCAAGCGGCAAGTTGATGTAAAAGCACCATCTCCATGTCTGCTCAGATGATTAGAAAAGCTTTTGGGCAGGAGACAAAGGGAAACTTACCACAAGGTCCGTGAACACACCACCTAGGAGAGGACCGACCGAGGCCCCGACACCGAACCTGGACGTGGTCAGCATATATAGTCTTGTGAAGAGGCCAGAAACAAGGGCCAATAGGGGCAGACGCTCACATCAAACCGACCACAGCCGTGAAAATGGGAACCTTCTGCCGCGGAACAGCCTTATTCACGATAACGAAGCTGCCTACAAGAATACCAGCACTGCCAAACCCCGCAATGGCCCGCCCAACAATCAGGGTTGTCGAGTTTGGCGCCAGTCCGCAGAGGAGGGAGCCAAGCTCGAATATGATCATGGCGATGAGATATGACCACTTGATGGAATACAGAACGAAAATGCGTCCAAAGAGCGGCTGGAAAGCACACGATGTGAGCATATATGCCGATCCATACCAACCTATATCTGATGTTGAACGAAATTCCTTTGTGATATATGGCGTAGCCTATTTCAACGCTGTTAGCTTTCAGGTTGGATCATTCAGCCCATCCTCAGTTTCTGGTCACCTACCGTGGATATGATGGTCCGGTCAATCGAGAAGAGAAGCATGCCGAGCATAAGGCCACCTATGAGCAGCCCAAGACGCAATCCTGTGAGATACTCCACGGTTGATGGTTCCTCGTCATTTACGGGCGGATTCTCATCGATCGTCATGGGCTCAAGCGTGCGCCGCACGTTGTCCGAGGTCATTGCGCGCTGCGCATCCTCGGAGCCATGTTGGCTTGCGGATAGTCTCGCCTTGATGATTTCCGTCATTGGATACCTCTGCTCTTCTATTGGCGTGACTTGGAGTCTAGGACTAGAGTTTCTGCGGCCAAGTGATGACGTAGAAGAATTAAGGCGTGGAAATGGGTCCCTCGATGGTCCAGCCAGCCGGTATGGGTTTTCGTCGTCGTAAGATGTCATAGGGTCAAAGGATACTGAGCGTGATGGTCGTCGTGCATGGGGTTTCTTTGCTGGTCCTCCCAAACGATTCTGGCTTCTGGATAGTAGTGTCGTTCCCAAAGCTGGGCTGCTGGATTCGCCGTCAAAGTTGAGTGAGGTTGATATAGGAAGCGGTTGGAGGGTGAGATTGGAGGGGGAGGCTTTATTTCCTAACGCCTCCAGGAAGACATCCTCGGTTTTTTGGTCCCTCCATAGCGGGTATTGGGATCAAGGTGATTCACATAGGGATCGGATGATGGGACGGTGAATAAGATCGACGATAGGTAAGGTATTGATAGAGATCATAAATAGGTAACTCGAAACACTTCTTTCGTCCAAAAGGGCCGTAAACGATAAAGTCTGCGTTGAGGTTGTTTCGAAAAAGGTCGGATGACAGGATTTCCCCAGACGCAGCTTCCTCGACTGAATTTGGTTTGTGAAGAAAACCACTCATGCCTCACGAGTGAGCCTAGGTCGCACTTTCCTGGTTTGGATCTCGACCTTGATGGGCCACCCCGCGGATTAAACCTCGTTCACGTGGACATGGTATGATCAGATAATCGAACTGTAAATGGAAGGCGCCAGTTGAGGGCCGTGACGAGATGGGCAATGGAAGAACTGGTCCTCGATCTGCTGGGTACTGTCACCATCCTCTCACTCTAATGATTTGAAATTGTCAGTAATACTAACTTACTCTTCCCAACAAAGCCTTTTCGGTATCACCCGCATAGATTCTAGGTGAACGTCAAAGCACGCCTGCACTCGAGGCGTGGGCTGGATGTGATTCGAGCCAACAATTTTTAGTTCTGGATCGCATCCACGCCGGTTCCTTGCTCACCGTTATGCCGGGACGGCCTGTGATACTCTCAGGTAAAGGTCGAGATGGACAAGTATGTTGGTTGCCGTGTCGTTCTTGCTACCGAGTGCTTGCCATGATTCGACACTGGGATTATCTTCCTATGGTGTAACATGCGGGTGGTTACCCTTTACCCGTGCCGATGGTTTCAAGCACACGAAATATCTTGTAATTCTCCATCAGTGACTTGGGCGGGACAAAAACATAGTAAATGGTCGCTCAGGAGAGAACACGAATGGGGAGTGGGTGCTCTCCTACTGAGGCTCTGCCACTTACTATATTAATTAATTTGGAGTTTATCATTAGGAAGAACAGGGCAACACAGTAAGACGGGAGCCTCAGTGCGTGTTGCACATGCCTTCCAGGTTGCATGGAGTATATGGCCATTCATGAAGTTCTTCGTGTTAGACGACTATAGGTCTTGTCATGGACATTCTGGATGTCATATTTTAATATTAAGTATTTGCAGGTTTGTGTTGTGACTTGAGGTCATTTTTTGCCTTCCTCCGTCTCATGTCCTTTAGACTCCATGTCCACTCATACCCAAAGCATTACATATCGCATTATCCAACGTTAGCGGTCTCATACCTAATCTAGGGTATGATCCTGTTTTTTCGGCCTAATTTGTGCCGCCTCTTCATTACTCATCGCCAAACGTATCCATAGTGAGGCAGGGCGTATCCAAAAAAAAAAAAAAAAACAACTTTCCCCACAATGAGGCGTATAGCTGCTTTGATGGGTTCCCTCTTCACAGGAGGCTACCTGTTCAGGTATGGATGAAACCTGCTCGTAGAACGTCCATCCTTGTGGAGTTGACCCAGGGTTCATCGTGAACACCTCAAAGGGCTTCCTTGTGGCAGCGCAAACGGAAGTTGACACAGCAAGTGCCTACCAGCAATCATTGCGCCGTCCAGAAGAATCAGGATCCAGGGCCTGCCGAGTGACCAACTGTTTTTCTTTATCCCAAAGAAGATCAGTCACCCGTTTACCTGCTCCAACGGTCCTCCATGTCGGGGGTGTCTCTATAGTCCCGATCATCGACCTCAAACTCGTCACGCCCCATGAGCCTGATACCCTCATCCTTGTTCTTCTTTCCGAAAAGACCCTTCTTCTTGCTCTTGCCAAGGAGGCTGTAGCCCTTTCCGCGGCCCATGACGCTGCCAACGCCAAGGCGTCTCACTTTCCTGTTCAGCAGGCAGGTACCGCACGACACGAGCAGGACGAAACCGACCATGGCGGGAATACCAATGTACAAAGCAGCGCCATCAGGGAGCTCGTTCTTGTGCTGGTGGAAGCGGCGGGTACGAGTAATGGTGACAGTCGGACCGCGAACCCAGTGGACGCGGTTGTCGTTGTGGTTCTTGGCGCCGAAACCAAGAGTGACGTTGACCGCCTGCTGCTTCTTGAACTGCTTGGGAGAGAAGAGATTCTTCTTCACCTTCCACTCGTAGTAGCCCCAGCCGGAGGACATGTAGTCGGTAGCGAAAGCCTGGTCGGTGCCCGCTAGATCGTAGAAGGCGACGATCTTGATGGAGGTGTTATGTCCAAAATACTCAGGATCCCAGGTAACTGTTGAAAAAAGGTTGTCAGCTTCCGTCTGATGATTGTGTAGGCTAGGGACAAGGGAGAAAACCACATACTGTGCTGATCGGTGTTAATCGAGATGTTCTGCCCATGAGAAGGCTCGCAGAAAGGCGCAGAGGGGCCATCTTTGTTGTGGCACTGCTCAAAAGCGCCGCTACCGGTCTTCTCGAAAGGTGGTAGCTCGTCATCGATGATAATATCGTCCACGTTGGCTGTGGAAACTGGGGCAGCAGAGATCACGGTCGGTGTACCATCGATGGTGGTGAGCACGGGAGTGACGGTTATGGGCACGCCCCCATCGTTGACAGTGGTCCAGACTGCTGTGAGGGCGGTGATATCCGGCACAACAGCGGTGGCGGTAGAAGAGGCGGTGATGGAAGATTCGGTACTCTCAAAAACGCCCGCTGGCATGGCCGAACTCGTGCCCAAGAGCAAGAGCCATGTGGCCGCGGAGAGAGTGGGAATGGTCGCGAGCATTGTGCGGAAACGTGGGCGGTGGTCCGTACCAAGTCGTCGTTTGCCGCGATTGGATGTATGGGTAGGTGGGGGACCAGTCAACGATGGGATGGAAGAGAGATGGGAGAAAAGAAAGAGAATCCAGGTCAGAGAGGATGAACTGCGCCAATTGATCCGATCCGAGCGAGTCAGTGGAGGCGGCGATGGAGCGGTACAGGAGGGTAGGTCGAGCTAAGAGACCGGACACGCCAGACAGGTGGAGGACAAGGGACCGTTTCGGCTTCGGAGGAAGGAGTGACGGGGAGAATTTAACGGATCGGACTATCCATCAACGGGTGTGTCCTTCCAATCATTGTAGATCTAAACACGGGAGAACGGCAAGACTTGTCGGAGGTCACGGAGATAATCTCAACTTTTTGGCGGACGGGGTCAAGAGGGTCCCGTCCTTCTCGGGCCTTTCGTTCAGGGGTTTGCGTCCGCTTGGTCCGGGTTGCCGGTCTGGCAAGTACCTGGATGGCCCGGCACATGCAGGTTCGACAATGCCACTGGAGCTTCGCGAACTCGCGCTAACAGCGGTGGAAAACGCCTGCCATGACGCTGTCGCCCGCATGAACCCGACATGGACGAATGAATGCCAAGAATTCTTTGACTTTTCCATCGACAGGGGTCGTGAAGACAATCAGGGGGCAACAACAGGGGGTTGTAAACACAAGGAACGACGGGAGTCAACGACATGGAAGCTCCGAGTCTTTTCAACACACCATATCTCTATGGTTTATAGAGGGAGGTATACGTGGAAACATGATTGCGTCAAAAACACGTTCCTTCAACCATTTAAAGAATTTACAACTGTCGAAAAAAAAAAACCAACCCTCATATCCTCCCACAATATCCCCAATCACCCCCTTCATGAAACGGTGTTCTTGGCAACAATGCCCCTCGCGAACTCTCCAAAGGTAATGTGCTGCTCCATATCAACCTCATCGCTCAAGTTCGGCTGAGTGAACACGGCAAGAGTGTTGCGTGCAATCCGTCCGGCGCTCATTTCAGCCCGCGCACCCCGCACAAAGTGCGGCACCGCCTTGAACTTGCCGCCCGTGATGCGCTCCAGCGCCTCGCCCGTCTGAAAGGCGATGCAGTCACGAGGAATCTTGACCTGTACCGTCTGCCCGGTGCGGGACTTGATGTAGAGGCCAGCCTTCGGATCCGGGGATGTAGGGAGCTCGGCCAGAGGGAGAAGCGAGCCGTCCGCCGATGGGTTGACAACCGGGGGCGTGGCCGCCTCGTCGACGAACATGGCGGAGGTCAGGCCGGTGAGACAGCCGTGATCAAGATGGGTGGCGCACCAGTCATCCTCGTCGCCTTCCTCCTCCTCCTTAGCGTCTGCCTTGGCATCCTCGGGGAAGTAGTGCAGGAGACGGGCCTTGGTGGTAGTCGAGGTCTTGACAACACCCTCCAGATAACCGGCCGGGTAACCAGCGATTTGCTTCTCAGCAAATCTGTCGCACGCACGCGCAACAAGGACGGCAACGTCGATGATCAGGCGGCAGAGATCCTCAAAGGTAGGCTTGAATCCAGGCAGGGTGCTCTCCGCGGGCCACATGTTGGGCGACAGGTACTCGGGAAAGTTATCGGGGTTGAACTCCTCCGTCGGCTTGGCGCACGACAACGAAGGGTCGACGTAGAAGGCGCAGTTGGCATAGTAGGAACCCTTCAGGTTATCGACCTGGCCATTCTTCAAGGTCTCCTTGCCGAGCGACCAGCCGGTCAGGTACTTTGCTGTTTCGTTCTCGAGCCGGTCAAGTTCAGCCTTGGGAAGGTTTCCAAGGTACGAGGAGTAAGATAGCAGACGACGGCGCAGCTCAGCGAATTCGGCGGGGACGTCCTTAACCACCAGGATGCCGAGCGAGTCAGGGCCGAACGCCTCCTCGAGTGCTTCCAGAGAGACAGTTCCTGTCAAGAAAGCGTGTTAATAGAATTTTCTTTTTTTTTCCTCATTGGAGTTGACCTGAAGACATGTAGAGTGGTCGGCTTATAAGTGGTAATGCGCTTGGTGTGACAGGTAATTTACCGTTCTTCAAATCATTCAAAGATACCGTAACGGCCTGTGCAATGGGGGCCATTTTGATACTAGTGAGTGGTTGAAATGCTGAATAAGACGTCCGACGGAACAAGTCCACAAAATTGATCAAGAAACCCCCGTTGCCGAGAGATAGCACCAAGAGAAAGTCTGACTTATATTGCCTCGTAAAATTTTCCTCAATTTATTGAATGACCGCCTGCGCATACGATCGTCTGATATTCCAAGATCGAGGGACCAACCAAGTTGATGGCCGACGCTAACCAGTTCCCAAGCCGCCCAGAGCGTGCCAAAGCCTTACGGACCTGCTTGACAAGGCAAGTGGGCCCGGCCGATAGATGGGGACGTGAGGGGGGCTCCGCCCGACCGGCTCCAGCGGGCATTCCCACTGCCGCCAGCCAGGGGCCATCAGGTTTCTTATCGATAAGAACTAATTGATCTTATCGACTTATACCATCGTCGTCCTTCGGTCGGGTCACGTCACACACGCGCTCGCTCGCTCGCTCGAACACGAGCTTCACATTTTCAACGTAAACTGCCAATTGATAAGCAACACAACTCAACCAATGCAGCAGAGATGGTAAAACCACTCAGTTTCAAGGGCGACAAGAAAGTCAAGAAAAGAAAACGCACAACGGAAACGAACGACGATGACGCGCCGCAAGACTCCGACCGCCGTCAAGGTCAAGAAAAGCAACTAAAAGCAACCAGCTCCAAGAGCGCCGCCGCCGCCCCCAACGATGAAGCAGAAGGCGAAGAACACGACGACAGCTGGGTATCCGCCGACTCTCCCTCCGACGTCTCGGGTCCCATAATGTTCGTCCTGCCCACCGAGCCTCCTAGCGCTTTAGCCTGCGATGCCACGGGCAAGGTTTTCACTTTGCCCTTCGACAATATTGTGGACGGCAACCCGGCGACGGCGGAACCGCATGATGTGCGGCAGGTGTGGGTGGCGAATAAGATTGTTGGGACGGAGAATTATAGGTTCAAGGGGCATCATGGGAAGTAAGTTCTGTTTATCTCCTCCGCCTTCCCCAACCATGTAGCCGGACCCTCGCTCGCAAGCAATTGCTAACCACCTTGTTGCCCAAATCAGGTACCTATCGTGCGACAAAATTGGCATATTCTCCGCACTCTCCGACGCCATCACCCCGCTCGAATCCTTCTCCATCCTCCCGACCTTCGACACACCAGGAACCTTCCAGATCCAAACTCTTCGCGAGACCTTTTTGACAGTACGTGCATCAAAGTCATCAAAATCGAACCCCGCGCCCGAGGTACGCGGTGACGCGACGGATATCTCGTTCGATACGACGCTGCGGATCCGGATGCAGGCACGGTTCAAGCCGCGCATTAAGGCGTCCAAGGAGGAGAAGGCGCGGGAGAAGATCAGTCGGCGCGAGCTTGAGGAGGCGGTGGGGAGGAGACTGGAGGAGGATGAGGTGAAGAGGTTGAAGAGGGCGAGGAGGGAGGGCGATTATCATGAGGTGATGCTGGATTTGAAAGTTAAGGGGAAGCATGATAAATATGGCTAATGGGGTATATGTGGGAAGAGGTGATGCCTGGCGGCCACGGGCGGGTGTTGCGCATTTTGAACATAATGCCGAGAGACGCATATGATACCCAAGTTAACGTTGTTAAGTTCCTGAATAACTGGTCATCCTTTATCTGCTTAAAGAATTGCATACTATGTATCTTCCAGCGACGAACCCACAGTATCACACCACCTGCGCCAAGGGGGCAAAGTGTCATGCGAGTCACATAGGTTTTCTCCAGGAACAGCGTTGTAAAGCAGTAGTAAGTGAATTTACTACACCGAGTAGTCTTTTTGATCTAACTCGCCTTACACCATTGAACGCCTATAAACCACTTTGCCGCAGACGTCCTATGCCTTACCCAACCAGGCCACTACAAAAACTTTAGAGAGAGAAAAATAAAATAAAGAAGAAAACCCTAAGGTCCCGCATATGATACCAAAATGAATTACTGAAAACAAACGCCGCTATACCATGCCAATAGTATAATGTTGTTACAATAAGTATCCAAGAATAGAAAGTGTAGAAGACAAAACGATGTGGATCTAAGATTCGAGCCGCATCCGTTTAGCGTCGTGGCTGTTCCCAGAGTCATTTTCAGGCCCGGTACTTTTACTTTCGGGACTCTTCCTCTTCAGGGGAGTGGGATCGTCTCTCAAGAAAGATGGCCCGGTCCCGTTGACAGGTGTGGCAAAGTTCAACGGGCTAGGAAGCGTGTTGCTCTCTCCGCTGATGCCATACCCCCATTCGGGATAGAATCTGCTAGGACTAGGCAGCAAATCGCCCAAGAACCGAGATGGGAGGGCAGACACAGGAGTGTCGATGTTCATATTGTTATTGTGTTGAATAGTAGATCGAGGAGCAAAGGGATTAGGTGGCCCTGTGGCACCTGCAGACGGCAAATTAGAAGCTGACGGTGACGGCGGTGGAAGCACAGGACCGGTCTTTAGCGGTTGCGGGGCGGAGTCCGTTGTGGTTGTAACTCGAGGAGAATTCGCCGACCCAGCAGCGCTTCCGCTATCCGAGTCGTCCGGAATCTGCACCTTAAGTCGCGGTCGCAATGGTCCACCTCCCACCCGCAGGTGTTGGGGCCCCCGGGATGGCGGGGGAAGCGTCGATTGTGAGATTGCCGTCAATGAATTCGTCCTCTGAACTGACCCTTGGCCATGTGCGCTGGAGAGCTGGATAGATGGTGTAGAGGTGTTAGGCTTGGACACATTGCCGCCGTCGACAGACTGCGACCGGTTGTTTGGCGACTCAGACTTGATATCCGGACGGAATGCGGCAAAATGCTGAGACAGAATAGACTTGTTCTCTGGTTCGATTGGGGTAAAGACACTTCCCTGCCCAGGGTTCTTAACCGATGTATTCAGCGAGGGAATCAGGCGGCGTGGTCTATCCATAGACTCTGGTTTTGGCGGTGCAGGAGGTTGAAGGTTTTGGTTAGACATGGGTTGAGATTGTTGATGTTGCTGATGGTGCTGCTGCTGAGGCGGTTGAGCTGGTTGTGGCGGAGGAGGTGACATATTTGCGCTCGGTAGCCGCTGAGGCTGCTGTGGAAGCTGGGCTTGGTGAACTTGAGGAGAGGCAGAATGGCGATGTACTTGTTGTTGCGGCATGTGTGGGTGCAGTAGTTCAGGCGGAGACGTAGAATGGCGCTGTGCTGGATGTGGCGGTGGTTGAGAGACAAACGTCGGGGGAAGAGGCGACCTCCTCTGGTCCTCGAACTGTTGCATGGGATGAGTAGGAGGCTGAGACGGTTGGAACGGATACTGGGGATGCAATTGCGTGGGAAGGCCATGAGTAGGCGCCATGGTAGCAGGAGGTTGCGGGTTATAGATGGGAGGTGACGGCACGAAGGCGCTCCTATTCTGAAGTTCCTGGGCAACTCCCGCGGGACCGACTGGCTGACCGGGCCTCAACCTTCGGATATCGTTGACGGATGGTGGCCGATTAACGAAGGGCGGTTGAGGAGTATGAGCGCGGCTCATTTGGTGTCCCGGCTGAGGCCCGAACGCACCGTTTGGTACCGGAGGTGAGTCTGAAAGACTCGTATGGCGGAGGAAAGGATATGGAACCGGCGGGTTTTGTTGGTACATCATATGTTGTTCCCCTTGTGAATTGGTCCCGTTCTCGTCGTCGTCGTCGTCGTCGTCGGCGCCGCCATTGAAATCAGAAGGGCCTTTGTGCTCATTGGGTCCTCCGTGCTGGAACGGTATATCATGGTAAGTACTTGATCTCGAAAGAAGAAACTTCTTGGGGTGTGCTCACATAAGTATATCGTTGTAGTATATCGCGAATGTTGCTGGATGAATATTCGTATAGCTTCTTGTTGTTGCCGAAGATAATAACAGCAACGTCGACAGAGCACAGAACGGAAAGCTCATGGGCTTTCTTGAATAACCCCCCTTTACGCTTCAAGAATGTTCTGTATGTTCCGGAGCATCAGTACCAACACATATGAGAATCTTCCACTGGGGTTGGAAGCTTACACGGAGCGATTCCTGTCATCCTTAATGGCCTTGATTTCTATCTTTCTCCTGCCCATCTTGGCGATGTGTAAATGCAAAGCACTGCAGTTAGATGGGTACAGATGTGGTTCTCCCGGGGCCACGGAATTGGTGTCTTGCGCCAGATATCAACACGATGGATTCGGAAAAACAGCAAGGTGTAAGTGGTAAAAGGCGACGCGACGGGGAGTTGGGTTGTCGTCAGATGTTTGTGATTGATTGCGCCGGGTATGCGGTCCTCGGGATCGGGACGGGAGTGCTTCGATCTGATGTCGTTGTGGAGGCACAATTGGCATATGTATGCAACTGTTGCTATGTAGAAGCAGCTTAGTGAAAAAAAAAGAAAAGAAAAGACAAGCAATGCAGAAGGCCTATGCGATGGCCAGAAACAAGCAAGATTGATGTAGAAGCTGGATGTCGCTGATGATGGAGGACTCGGGGAGGACGTCTGCTAAAAGAGTGAAGTTGTCAACACCACTGGCTAGGCCACCACTTCTTCGTCGGCAGCTGCTATCTTGATATAAAAGATATCTAGATATGCAAAAGAAGTTTGAAGACGTCGTAGTACTGCAGTACCTTGCGGCGCCGGTCGATGCAGTTGAGGCTGGTTTGATAATTCTAATAATAGATCGTCAACTTCACGTTCACACGCAAAGTTGGGGTTGGGGGAAGAGGGAAAGACGAGCGACGGGAGTGTGCGAAGGGGAAAGCTCAGGGCCTGGGGGCACCGCTGCACCACCTCCTACCATACAGTTCGGCTGGGGGGATGGGACCGGCCTACCCACTGCCGTAGTGGAGGGTCCGGTCCCTTGGGTGCCGTGGAGTGCATGGGTGCGAAGGTGCTTACCTACTGCAGCGAAGGTGGAAACCACCGGGCGCCCAGGGGACACCTACAACAACCTGAACCGCATCACAGGAACAAGGGGAAGTGGAAGTCGAGGAGCACACCGGCACAGGGGACACACACGAGTCAGGTCTTGGCGGACAAGGCTCTCCTTCATCTCTCATTCCCGACAAGCTCCATTTGTTCTTTCTGCCCGTCTGGTAGGTCCCGCTGTTCTTTTGCACCGGAAGTTTGGACGAGAGGAACGTGAAAGGCCGAAACACCCCGCAAATGGTCGTACCCTTCCGTCAACCAGCCGACGCCATCTCGCTTCAGGGACTGCAACAGCCATGTACAGGAAATACAGTCCCGCCTGTCTCTCGTGCCTACAGGTCTGGACTCCCAGGAGGACAAAGGACGCCATCACGACTTCACCAGGTCCTGGGAGAGGTAGAAGTATGCAAGGCCTGGACGGGAGTACGAAGTTGATAGAGGTGATTGTTTCGTTGAAGACGAAACATAGCTCATCCCAAACATTCCCTGGAGCGGCGAACTTAACTACAAGCCACCCGCACATTAAGTACAACATTCCTGCGTTTTACCCTTTCGAAACGCTCATAATGTGTACGAAACTAGTCTTTACCTCTCAGCAAAATGCTGCCTCGCTGGGTCTTTCTCAAAGTTGTGCTGGAGATTGCGTGTAAGTGTCCTCTTGGTTGTTGTTCTTTGGCGGTGTGATCTGGGCCCGCGACACGTAGCGAGTGTACTCTGGTACGGAATATTTTGTTTCAAGATGAACTGGCTAACCTCGCTCCGCAGCATGGATGTAGATCAAAAAGCCTGCACTAATTTGCCGGAACGATCTGAGATCACCCATTCAACCATCCACCCCTGGCTTCGACCACTGATAATGAAGAGAATGAATTGCGGTACCGGCACAAGCGATGGTAAGAAGTGTGGTTCTCCTTTCACCTTTCAATCAATTCTCAGCGCGTTTATTAGGATACATGCTTGCTTGGCCATAGCTCGAGGTTGAAGCCCTCTTACAGTGTGACGACTTGGCGATGCTGGTCATCCAAATGCTCGAATCGGTTCGTCCCAACTCCCCCGGCCCTTCAGTCCGGTACGTACCCTCGTGGACGTCCCCACATGCAGGCAATACCTACAGTACAGATAGTATGACGGGCCCGGCCCCCGGGATGTCTCGGACTTCGAATATGCTGTACCCACGACGTCCTCCGAGTCGTATGGAAGATGTTGTATCGGCGGCTCGGTACCACGTATTTAATGTCATTAAATATTCACCAACGCTACATCTCTCCCGCTTCAGAGCTGTATCAGTCTCACTAGATTTCAACGGTACCTAACTCTGAGTGTGTGTATCTCTGAAATAATTGTCATGCTGAGATTTACACCTGCAGAGAGCCAAACTTACAAAACACTCTTCTTGAACCAAAAAAGAATGTCAAAAATCTCCAAGCCATAACAGACACTGGTTGCCGCTGTAAGCTCACGGGCATGTTAACGGGATCTACCCATATTGCAAGGTTTCATGTAGGAGGAACAGTCGTCATACACACAATTACCGCATTTTGAGCAAGATCTTGAATACGCAAATAGATACGGTTCTTTTGGCTGTCCAGTCACGGTGAATATTCACGGGAGTTGTTTATACGGTAATGCAGTGCTAGTTCAAACTACGACTTGATCATGGCCCATCATTTGTCTGAGTCTCCCGTTGCTTCAAGGTAGCATCAGCCTCTCGGGGTGCGATTCAAGCGCTGTCTTTTCCAGAACATCACGACATTGCCCATCTACTTGGATGTGGGAAACTACTGCCAATGCAAGGCATCCGAGACACGGAGAGAAGACGCAGGGTTCCATCATATGGAATCTAAAAGAGTTTAAAACAGATTGATGTGTCAAAGTTAGGATGGTCAGATTCATCGTAGCAATCTACCAGACTTGGAGAAAGGGGGAAAATCAAGACGACCTGGTCATGGAAACCGACTAGCAAAGGGCCAGGCCTACGATCGTTAAGCCGCATCCGTGCCGTACGTAAACTACCTCTCCGATGACGTCGCGTGATGGCCGTTGATAGTCCCTTTCTATAACGGACTTGACTCCGGCGGGAGCTTCGAAAAAGTAGTATATCTGGAATCCACAAATTTCACGACGACACCCAAGTTATTTGTGTTCATGTCCACATGCTGGAGCCACAACTAGATGCTTTTTACCTGCTTGTTTGAATGTTTCCAGAATCTGGACTCAAGCCTCGTCCATCAAAAATTCCACTACGAAGCAACGCCGAGCCAGTATTCTAAGCGAGCTGTTGATCGATCTTGCACTCTCGGAACCGGGACCGTGTCATTGTGCAACGATGCAAGGAGACCACAACGGTTCACGATGTGACGCATGCACATCGCTGCACATCTCTGCACCGGACCCCCTCGCAAGCTCGCACAGGTCGAAACGAAACACACCATCTTACTCCTCTGATTGGCCCGTTGCCGTGGGTTGGAATTAGCCCACTGTCGGGCTGCAAGCGCCCAAGTGGGCTAAAAGCTCTCATTGGGCAAGCCAAGAGTTAGCCCACTATCAAATCTGACTAGGCCCCGCCAAGAATGATCTATTTTTAGCTATTTCTTTAGCACATCTTGTGCATCACATCGACGACGACGGCTGCCGCACGGGCTGTATCAATCTTCGATACACTGGCTGTCAGCATCCTTCTTTTCCTCACTCCGCAGTGTCACGATGGTCCAACAATCAATCAAACCATCCACCCACTACCCCAAAGAAGTTGATTATTTCTTCGCTTATTGCCTGATACACCCTCTTCTTGTTCCGATACCCGGCATTGGCGTTGGATACGCTGCATTCGAGTTTACCTTCCACATTCGCTCCCACCAAGATTATCTCTCTCCAACTAATTTCGAGGATTTCAGTCTTTCCTTCTGCAGGAACGAGGAACATAATGTTACCTTTTCTCCAAATCATCGTCGTCTTCACCCATTAGCATACCCAGTCCAAGCATGCTATCCAATAAAACGATGGCTAATTCGGGATTTAATGATCCCAGTTCTGCGCATCAGCGTTCCATTTCGTTGATCTACAGCGTCAGTTGGACGTTCATCCCGTCCACACAAGACAATTCTGCGGCTCTGTCAACCTATTCTAGCTTCTGCTTTCAACGGAACGGCGGCTATGCAAGGTACACGATCTCATTTTCTTGGGAAAGAAAGGAGTCGGATATGCGCCGCGCCAAAGTTAGAATCATTGACGCGGAATGACTTCGACGACACTCGAACATTCTAACTGCTGTACTACGCCCATACCCCTAGCTCCGGCATGATTTTCTTCCAGCTCTCCGGAATCAACTGGAGTCTGGGTAGTGAGAGCAACTAGGAGTTCCCTATCCATACCACACAGATGATCACGAAGTCGGCGATCATCACCTTGGTGTTGCTTACGACCTTGTCGAGGTTGGACGGAACATCCCATTAAGATCTTATTCAGACAACCACTAGCACCAGCCCTGAGGTTTGTCTTCCCTTTAAAACTGAAACAGCCGCGCTGGAGAGTCTGGAAAGTCTGGACAATGACTTCATTGGCTACACCTACCTACCTACGTCAAGTGCTCCCTGAAAAAAGCAACCGGGGACAAGGGTAGCACATGGCAACCTGCAGTCAAGTTGCCCTCCACACACCATGCAAGTGGTTGCTGGCCATTGGGTCATTCTTGCTATACGTCCCTCTCTGTCTCTGTGTGTGTGTCTCTGTTGATACAATGATACTTCATCAGGTGCCTCCATCTCCTTAATACTGAAAGTAGTATGTGCCTGGTAATGAAGTATGGAAGCGAAGGAGCCGCTTATGTCATACATGTTCTACAACGAGATACCTCTGTACGCATATCCACAAATACCAAGGTGACAACCGTGCTACCTATTTGAGAAGCTGCAGTACCGGCGTTGGAAAGCTTGTCACTAAGCTACTGGGATTTCATGTTCAACTTGGATCCGCGGATGGTTACTCATCTTTACACCTTACCTACCCAACTCTCGCCTCTTCTGAGGTGAGTGGGTGCCTCACATAGTTGTTGGCTAATGAGCTACATGAAAAAGAAGGATGACAGGTCCACATAAAAGTGAACTTGGTCGAAGCGAAAGAAGATCAGTGAAACAGACATGGAGGTTTCCTCTACAACCCACC